ACAAAAAGTGCAGCGAAATGTGTGACAGAGAAAAAGAAGGTGAGATAAAAAGAAATTGCACGTACTTTGCACGGCCCAGTACGGCTATATAAACAACAAAGCTAAATAAATATACATACATACATACATAAGTATATAGGGCGGTGTAAAAAATTAATAATATTTATTTAATTAATTTTTTTTTCTATTATTGTTGCGGTAAGCATATGGGAAAGGTGTCAGCGTGAACTGCTTGTTTATTCACCGTTGAATATGTATGTATGGGTGCGGTAAGTGCGTTGGTGCGATACGAAAGAGTTAAGCAACAAACCTGTGGACTAAAGCTAGTAAACAATCCGAGCTGTCGGGTGAAGTCGGTCGCGCACGATTCAATCGAAAGGGTCAGCCGTAATTTTCAATAAAATTTCAAATTTTATACGGCGTTGGATGTTATTAAACGGATAGTTGTTGTTGTTCGTTGTAAGCAGCCAGACAAATTTTTATTTTTTTATTTTTTTTTTTTGGTTTTTGGGTTGAAGATTTAGCCGTTCAAATGAAATTTTCACGATTTGGAATTTGAATTTACATACATTTGAGCGTTGTTGATGGATGGTTGACGGTGGATATTGGTGGTGGTTGAGGTGGTTTTAATGGTTTTGTTTGGTGGTGGTTGAGGTGGTTGGTTGCAATAGAAGAACACCAAATTATGCATAAAAACGTACGCACACAGGCGGAGGGAGAAAAAAAAACAAAACAAATAAAACAAAAGTAAATTAACAAAATGGTAAAAACTTTTTTTTTTTTTATGGAAAATAAATTAATGAGAAAAGATAGAAATCAATTTAGAAATATGGAAAAAGTTGAATAATTGATGAACAGGCGATAAGTGTGAAATTGTGTGGAGAAACAGAGAAGATAGTCGAAGTAATGAACAGTATGAAAGTATGCGGCAAAAGTAAAAGTTCGCCGCAATGTTTAATTTTGTTTGTATGTATAGTACATATACATATGTAGTAGTGCAGTGTAGTGATTATTGTGGAAAACAAAGGTCAATTAGACAGTTAATTGGTAAGATGATAAACAACTTAAACTACTACTTAGTTGCTTATTCATCATTTAATCATTAGTTGGCTCATTAGTTAGATAATTATATACATAGTAAGAATAGAGCATATAAACATATTTTAATGTGCACGATAATTAAATATATACATACAATTATGTTTGCACGTAAAATAAATTAATATTTTTTAGCTAACCTCGCTCGTTTGTCAGGGTGGACTTAAATATAGGGTTTTAAAGAGAACGGCCAATTTTTGTAATAGCCGTTTTAACTTTGTTTGTTAGTCAATCATGTTACCGTTCGACTTCGAAATTATTTTGCCACATGTGGATGACAGACTAAAAGCAACAAATGTTGTGAATATACAGTTGCGTTCAAAATGTTGTGTCTATTTTTTTTTTTAAATTAGTTTCACTTAAATTCGACCTACATACATATATATAATAGAAACTACATACGTAAATAGAAGTTTTGGATATTGCACAAAGTTCACAAAAAGTAATCAACTTTCAAAAAATGTGATCAAAATTTCACAATTAAATTTTGTCGATGCGTCGTTATATGGAAGAAACTGCTAAACACCTTCGACCAAAAAAAAATCAACGATAATTTTGGCAACTTGAAGTTTAGAATTTATTGCATGATCCTGATGAGATAATTTTATCTTTTCGTCAGTACTAGATCGCGTGAAAACTCCTCAGCCTCATCTCAAAAAAAAAAAAATCCTCTATTCAAAGTTAAAAACAGCGAAAATCAGGGAACCCCATAAATAGTTTCATTGTTATGAAATTTTCGTTTTTTAGATAATTTTTTTTTAAGGTGAAGCTGAAGTCTTCCTAGTAAATGAAATTAATGATATTAAAAAAAAGTAAATTAAAAATTATCCTCATACGGTTATACTAGCTCTACGGCTAGAATTTCTTCCATATTTAAGATATTTGTTTTCAATTGACGCAAATGAAAATTATAAAACTACGCCCAGGAGCTCACATGACTGGTTGTTACATTTGATGATGTAAAATTTTTGCCTATTAAAATAAATAAAAAAAATTAGTGCTTGGTGTATGAAAATTAATTTTAGAATTACAAATTTCATTAACCTTGATATTTTAAATTTTTCACAAACAACATTTTTTTCGCTCAAATATCTATATGCAACGTATGTATGTACATATATAAATATATATACACGCAATATCTACATATAAATAGTGCAAGCACACCTTTGCGTGGGAGCTATAAATTTGAAGCGGGCTTTTCACAGCAAATCACAGCGAAGTTATATGTAACTTCCGTCTAATGCATACATATTTCCCCTTATGGCAAACTGAAAATGCAGCACTTTTAGATATTTTACACGTCAGTTTGTTGTTTTAGCCTACGTACATACATAAATAGTTGGCGTGTGTATGCAAGAAAAAAGATATTGAATTCAACAAGAATTTAATGCCAACAAGTACAACTGCAAAATGGTGTTGTGAATATAACAGCAGCCGTGCGACTAACTAGTTGGCTTTGCTATTTGTAATTATTTATTTATTTATTGCTTAGTGAATGCATTCACACCAACACCATTAAAAATGGTTACATTCACTGCATTGCAATGGAAAAAAGTTATGGTTTGTTAAACAATGAAGCCAGTAAACTGTGTGACTTTAACAGTCCACAACCGGCTGCCGGCAGCGGTGATGGTAAAATGATGGGGAAGCAAAAAAAAAATGTAACAAACACAAACAAGTTGTGCGGAACAACGAATGTAGACAGACTGACTCAAATGCCGAAACATACATGAATTTTTTTCATAGGCATATATATATATACATATATGTAGGTAGGTATGTATATACAAATGTTTAAACAAACGTATTTGCAATTGAAATCGCGATTTGAGCCGGAATTAGTTAAATGTTGAAAAATGCCACAACGGCAATTGTTTTTTTAACATACGTACATACATACATATTTCATGTGCTAAAAACTGTAATAAGGAACAAATTTTTTAACAAATAATAAACTCAAGAGTTACGTGCCGTTAAACTAGAGTAACCATTGGAAAAAGTGTATTGACAGACATGAAAAAAGATGGCGTGACTTTTGTATTAACACTCTGGCAGTAAATAAATCGAATAGTAAATAGAAATGTGCTACAGAATGTGTTTTAGAAAAAAATATAAAAATGAGAAAAATAATTTATTTGGTATGCAAATACAATATGGCGACAAATGCTAGTTTGCGCTAAGCTGAACTAATTTCCAAGCACATATAGGTTTTTGAATGTATGGAAAACTATGTATGTATATGTATTTCTTCATGAGTGAACCTAATTTGCGCTACGCTGAAAATCACTGACTGCAAGTGGAAATAATGAGTTAATTAGCACATCAGCTAGCTATGTCAGCGGAGAGATAATTTAGAAATATGCATGAATTGTAAATGAAAGCAATAAAAAACAGTGATGTATGTGTTCAGTTTTAAATACATTTTTTTTTTCAAATTGATTATGCTTAAGTCGAACCTAAGAGATTACAAGAAACTCTGAAGGAAAAGCAAGAGATTGTCATAGAGGCGCTTTTGTGGTGGCATGGAATCTGTATCAGTCGGTTCCAGGCTAAAGAAGATACTCTTCAGTTCACCTTGATTCGGCCTGGGATGCTTTAGAAAATAATTTTTTTCTAGATTTTTGTCCAGTTTTTTTCTTAAAGTGTTTTCTTCGCATTTTTTTTTTAAGAAATAACTTTTTGCTTGAATATAATTTTTTCAAAGGAAAACTCTTTCTTACGTTATTTTTCATAATTTGGTAGATATTATTTTTCTTTTTTTTTTGGTTGCCCAAAAAAACAAAAAATAACTCGAAAAAATAATTTTTACCGTAATTTCTTTTCCCCCTCCAAAAAGTTTTTGTGTCTTATGTTGGTGTGTTTTTCTAATTGGGGTAAACATATTTTCATAAATTATAATTGTTTCGGAAAACTTCTTCTCTTTACATAAAATTTTTTCTAAAAAATTGCAATATTTAATTTTAAATATATTTTTTCTAAAATTTCATGATGAAAATACTTGAATGAATAAGACGCACATTCTAAAAAAAAGACAAATTATAAAACTATTTCCTTACAAGTGGAGTAACTTTTTAAGAAATAAGTTTCGCTTTGCCCTGATATGGTTGACCTTTGAGTGCAATTAAAATAAAACTCAGACGTGCAGCACTATGGATTTTTTTAGTGAAAATGTTCAGTATGACGTCTTATTAAAAAAAAAAAACATAACTTGGTTATTCTATAGGAAAAATGCCGTTGAACAGCGTTATTAGATCAGTGTCGAATCGTATTCTCAAAGATAGGTTTATAGAGGGTACAGTTTATGGTGAATAGTTTTCCATTACCCGAATTGTAAATATTTTGAATTTGACAATAAAAAATGTAAAAAGTTAACGGTAATTTTTTAACACTTGAAACTTGCACATTATCAGACTAAAATTGGATGGGCAATATGAACTGTAAAAAATTCTAACACGTCCGAGAAAAAGGTTTGAAATTTGGGTGAAGATTTGTTGAATTTTTTGTAGTTTTCCACAAAGTTTTAAACTTGGACTTAAAAGGGTTTTGTTAGAGCATGAACTGTACTTTAATTAAAAATTCATAAAAACAAATAAATAAACATAAGTGGCATACAAATAACACCGTACATACTTCGATATATATATTTTTTTAATTCCATATTCTTCGCCATCAGCCGCCCTTCTCATGGTAAATAAAAATAAGTCAGACAAGGTAACACGACCTGCACAATAAGTGCTTCGACATGTAGAAGTCGTAACACCGTGTTGATTTTCCAAACATTTTGACATTCTTCGCTAAGTATAGGTATGTATGTATGTATGTATTTATTCGTTGGGTGCAGTCATTGCAAACGTACTTATTTAATAAATCAAAATAAATGAATGAATGCAAAATGTATACTTGTTCGTTCAAACGTTAATTTGTGCGCGCACACTCTCACACATCAATGCGTATTTAGCAAGTGCATATTTACACCTACAAATGTATGTACATACTTACGTACTTAAATAGCTATAGTAAACAGTACGCTTCATTGTAATTTGCATAACTTATGCTCACTTGCAATCATTCTTCAGTCGTTCTGTTTATATTCGGGCGTTGGGTGATTTGCATAGTACAGAATACATATGTACATACATAGTGGCGGCGGCACTTAACTATGACTTTATGGATGACGCTGTCAAATAGCAATATAAAAAAGCTGCATAGAATTGTGTGTAAATACTACAAAATAATCAT